TCTCCTTAGTCTCCGTGGATCTTCCCTGTGCCTGGCTGAGGCCACAGAGAAAGATCCCAAGGCAAGCTGAGCCTTTATTTTATAGTGAGCGGTAAACAAGGTAGTGGTTTCCATAGTTACACAGTTCTTGTAAGTTTCACTTGTTTACACTGTTCTTGTGAGTTTCACTTGTTTTTGTTCTTGTGAGTTTCACTTGTTTTTGTTCTTGTTGCACTTCCCTCAGCCCATTAGCTTCCTGAGTAAGATCTAGGGAGCGTCATAAGGTCAAGCCTAATTATGCTAAGAGGACTGTGCCCTCTAAGCTGGGACTTGTTTGTGACTTTGCCCACAAGTCAGTCCGAGGCTTAACCCTATATCAGCTTCCCACAAGAACCGAGGCTGCCAAGGTCCTGGTGCTTCATGAGCTCAGATTGGCTGGGAGACCTGGGGAGACACTGGGACATGGGACCAATGAGAGGCCCCGTTACCAGGGGGGGTAAGCAGGGTAGTTACCACTGTCTGTGTGTCTCCCGCTGTGTGTCCTCCACCCAGGCCCTCTGTCTCCCACCCCCACCCAGGCCCAGGCACCATCAGGGCAGCCCTGTCCTGTCAGAGTGAACCCGCTCTGTCCCACCCGCTGCAGAGCGGCCTGAGGCGGGAGGAGGGGCAGCCTGGGGAGCTGAGATCTGGGACCTGGGCCAGGCCTGCTCATGGCTTTGTCTACAGTCCTCCTGGGGCAGCAGGTGCGTGTGACACAGACGGGGACGGGGTTTATGTCCCACTTCCCCATCTGCCTGTGTCACTGTGAGCATTACCACTGCTGTCCCATGACTGACAGAAATATTCAGGCTTGTCCTCAGCCAGGACCCAGCTGATGGTCAGGGTGTTTGTCTTCCCTGAGCTGGAGCCTGAGAACCGGTCCGGGATCCCTGAGGGCCGCTTGTTATCCTCGTAAATGACCAGCACAGGGGCCTGGCTGGGCTTCTGTTGGTACCAGTGAGTATATTTTTTATCCAGTAAATCTCCAGAGCAGGTCATGCTGGCCGTCCCTCCCGGGGCCACTGACAAAGGGCCCGACTGGGTCAGCTCATAGGAGGCCACAGAGCCTGTAAAAGAGAAGAGGAGGGGGTTTGAGGATTAGGCCCCATTAACTGTAGATTCCACCATGAGGCTCTGCCTGGAGGAGCTCAGGGTTGAAGCAGGTCTAGCTCAGGTCCTGGGGGCAGCACCTGTGCAGAGAGTGAGCAGGGGGAGCAGGAGAGGGGTCCAGGCCATGGCGGAGACGCCCAGGTTCAGCCTCTGAGCCCACAGCTGGGCAGTGGCCTCTGGGCGGCTCTTATGCTCTGCAAGGGGCTCCTCATGCAAATCTCCTCCTCCCTGTGGGCCTCCTGGACTGGCTCCAGCTGCTCAGGGCACAGCTGGGCTGATGGGAGTTCAAATAGGAGCCTCCCTCCAGCCTGTACCAGTACCCAGAGCTCTCTGTGGTGCTGAGGGAGACAGTGCTGACCCCTGACCCAGCCCCTGCACACACCCCAGGCTGACCTTTGACCTCCTCTCTGGGCCTGGGGAGAGCCCTGGGGCCCCCACTGGGGATCAGATCACCCATGTGGGCGGGGCCTGCTCATAGAGACAGTGGCCAGTGGTCCTGCTCCGGCGTGAGGGGCAGACTCCATGCTCAGTCCCAGTGAAGTTGGTCAGGGACTTCTCAGGTCACCTTTTTTCAGGTTCAAAACCATAGGAGAAATTTTGGGATCTACTGAGGCTAAAAAACAACAACACAGCTTTCATAATACCAGATGGATGATTCCAGGAAAGATCAATAGCATTGAACCTTACAGAATGAATATTTTGTTTTAAAAAAAACTTGAAAGAGGATCAGAAAACAAGCAACAAGGAGAAAACATTTGCAAACTAACTATCCCATGGACACCTCGAGTACAGAATATAAAAGGAAACCTCAAATCTAGACAGGAAGTACCAAGTACACTAGTATGATCTATGTAGAACTTGGGTAGTTGTCAAGAAGAACCATGTAGTGAAGAAGATATATTGGTGGCAACAAGCACAGAAAAAGATGTCATCCTTGGTTATTAGTGAAATGCCAATTAAAATCCCATGAGGTATCAGTTCCCGCGACTCAGATTGGATAAAGTGAAAGAAGGGGTGACCCCCACTGAGGGCGAGGATGGGAGAACCTGGGTCACTCGTGCGTGGCTGCTGCTCATGGGAAATGGTACAGACAGTCGGGAAAGAGTGAGCAGCTGCTAGAAGTGCTACACTTGTCACTGCCACACAACCCCAAGGAGCACTTGGGCATTGATTTCAGAGAAGTGACAACATGTTCACAGAGAAAGGACAGGATGATGTTCCCAGCACCCGTGGGCATGACGTGCCCAGAGAACAATGAGATGCCCTTGCCGGGTGGAGGGTCCACAGACTGTGGTCCACCGGGACCATGGAATACGACTCGGCCGTGAACAGGAAGGAACTCAATGCAACAACAGGTGGGAGGAACCTTCAGGGGGTTAGGGGAGGTGAAAATCCCATCTCAGAGGCTACATGTACGTGATTCTATCTCTAATCCTAGAGGCCATTTCTGAAATGAAGACCTTTAGACATGAACAAGCAACTAGTGGAGCCATGAGCTGAGGGCAGGGAAGGGCACCCTGAAGGGGGAGGTGGGTGTTTTTATAAAAGTAAAATGTGGGAGGCCCTAGTGGGGAGAGAAGGTTGTTGTATATCATGCTGTTGTGGATCCACGAAGCTACACGTGGGCAACATCCCATAGAACCAAACACACACACATACATGCTCTGAAGAGGAAGAGGGGGCAAATGAAAGGAAGAGTTAATGACAAGCAACAGCAAAGAGCATAAGGTAGAGACAAATGGAAGGATTAAATGGAAAGTAATGAGAGAGAGAGAGAGAGAGAGAGAGAGAGAGAGAGAGAGAGAGAGAGAGAAAGAGGGGG